TTCATTGCTGCTGATCCTAAAACACATTAAAATTGATCACTCACTGTATCAGCCGCACTACAAAATCCTAAACACACACACACACACACACACACACACACACACACACACATACACACACACAGTATCTCATTGCTCATCACACACACTCAGAGTTAAAGTGGCTGTCTGCAGACCCTCGTTAATCTTTAAATACGTCATAAAACATCACCGTGTAGAATTACACACACACACACACACACACACACACACACACAGCAGTAAAGGGAGTTTTCAACAGGTGTAACACACACACACACACACATGTTGGTTTCACTATACGTGTGAGAACTTACATTAACTTCACATTGACTTACATTGTATTACTGTAGTTGAGTAGTACTAAACCTAATCCTAAGCCTAAACCCAGGGACGTCACTACACCCAGTGTTTTAACTTTGACTGTTGCGCTAAACTGTAAACAGAATGATCATGCAAATTCACTATAGTTACTACATTTCCCACAATGCCCCAGCATATTTTCTTTGATCGCTTTCAATGTCCATGAATTCAGGCTGTACTCTAACTCAGAGTGGATGGACATGCAGGGACATTAACGACGTAGATATTAGAAACATATGAATATCTGTTTTTAAGTCCACAGAGCAGCCTGGGTAATGCTGTCGGTCATCTTAAGGCTGACCACTTCTTATCCTCCCAACACTGCACATCAGATCACTGAATCAAAGGCATTAGTTATGTTAGCAACTGTTATCTTAATCGAGTACACCAAAAACATGGATGTGATTTTCTAATAAATGGGACTTCACTGATCTGATAAATCACAGGACTGGCATGTATTTTTTTTTTTTGGCTCAAATGAATAATTTCACATACTTGTGTGTAAAATTAAAAAGAAAGCATCAGTAAAACAGGAAGAAGCTGACAGTGTTAAAGGAGAATCAGAACAAAGAGACAGAACCAAAGTGTGAAATAAATGGGGGTCCTGGGGGGCCCAGAATGTCCCAAGTAATCTCTTGGACCCCATGGATAGCTCAAGATCAAAATACTGGAGGGACCCTGAAAATAAACGTATCATGATGTTATGCTGTCCATCAAGGGTAAAACAGACACTCAAATCCAGATTCAGTGAAGCTGTTTCTCTGCTTCACCCACAATCAGCTTCTGTCTCTGGTGTTCTTAACTAACTAGAGCTGCAGCACTGCTCTGCCTCAGGGTGGCGCTGTAGCAGACTGGTTCACCTAGGTGGTCCTTCCTTTCTTAGCAACTGTAACTATGGACTGTAACTATATTTCCAGGAGAAGAACTGTTAAACCAAACATTCTGGCTCTATTAAAGCACCAGCACTGCTGAGGCAAGTTAGCAGTTATTGAACACTGGAGTAGCCAACCAACATGGGACCCCCGGAATACCAGGGGGCATTTCACACACTGGAAGGATCGAAAAGAAAAATCAAAACAGAAAATCAGAGAAAGGAGGATCAGAAGAGGAAGGAGGAGTAAACAGAGGAACAGAACAGGGAGAAGGAGAGAAGGAAGGATCAGAACAGAGAGAAGGAGCAAAAGGAGGATCAGAAGAGGAAGACGGACTAAAAGGAGAAACAGAAGAGGAAAGAGGAGTGCAAGGAGGAACAAAACAGGAATATGGAGGAGTAAAAGAAGGATCAGAACAGAGAGAAGGAGTGAAAGGAGGATCAGAAGAGGAAGAAGGAGTAAAAGAAGGATCAGAACAGAGAAGGAGCGAAAGGAGAATCAGAACAGAAGAAGTGAAGGGAGGATCAGAACATCAGGAAGGACTGAAAGGAGGAACAGAAAAGAGAAAAGGAGCGAAAGGAGGATCAGAAATGAGAGATGGCGTGAAAGGAGGATCAGAACAGAGAGAAGGAGGAAAAGGAGGAACAGAACAAATGAGTGAAAGGAGGATCAGAACAGAAGAAATGAAAGGAGGATCAAAACAGAGAGAAGGAGTGAAAGGAGGACCAGAACAGAGAGAAGTGGTGAAAGGAGGATCAGTACAGAGAGAAGGAGTGAAAGGAGGATTAAAACAGAGAAAGAGTGAAAGGAGGAGCAGAACAGAGAGAATGAGTGGAAGGAGGAGTAGAACAGAGATAAGAAGCGAAAGGAGGAGCAGAACAGAGAGAAGGAGCAAAAGGAAGAGTACAGCAGAGAGAAGGAACAAAATGAGGATCAGAAAAGGAAGAAGGAGTAAAAGGAGGATCAGAACAGAGAGAAGGAGTGAAAGGAGGATCAGAACAGAGAGAAGGAGAGAAAGGAGGATCAGAACAGAGAAAAGGAGTGAAAGGAGGATCAGAACAGAGAGAAGGAGAGAAAGGAGGATCAGAACAGAGAAAAGGAGTGAAAGGAGGAACAGAACAGAGAGAAGATGTGAAAGGAAGATCAGAACAGAGAACGAGTGAAAGGAGGATCAGAACAGAAGGAGAGAAAGGAGGATCAGAAGAGGAAGAAGGAGTAAAAGGAGGATCAGAAGAGGAAGGAGGAGTAAAAGGAGGATCAGAAGAGGAAGGAGGAGTAAAAGGAGGAGTGTCTAACCCTGAATGTAAGTGAACACAGGATGTTTTCAATTGAAAACCAGCCAAAAGGTCCTCAATTTTGCAAAAGTCTCTGTCATTGTGAGGACAATTGGTCCACACAGGAGGAGCAAGACAAGTACACACACACACACACACACACACACACACATACACACAGCAAGCAATACACACACACACACACACACACACACACACACACACACACACATACACACACACACACACACACACACACACACACACACACACACACTGCAGTCAAATGCAAAAATAATATGTAAAACTCAGCAAATAAACAGCAATTGTGCACTAAAATGTGCAGAGTGTTCTCTGTTGTGGAAAATAATCAACCAAACATGAAATCTGACTGGGGGTGCACAAACTATCGCACGCACCTGTACATGAAGTACAGTAAAGTACTGCAGGGACAGGTTCAGAATATAACTGAATATATAAAGACATGAACGTTCACACAGGATTAACATAACCTGGGATTATTTAGAAAGCTTGACAGCAAAGGATTAACATAACCTCCTGTGATGGATTGGTGGCCTGTCCAGGGTGTTTCCTGCCTTCTGCCCAATGATCACTGTGATAGACTCCAGGACCCCCCACGACCCAGGAGGATCAGTGGTTTAGTAGAAGAATTAATGAATTAATTAATATAACCTGGGATTATGTATATGGTTCATTTTATAGCACAGGATTAATATAACCTGGGATTATTTCTACAGATTGTTTTACACAGGATTAATATAACCTGGGATTATTTCTATAGACTGTTCTGTAGCACAGGAATAACATAACCTGGGATTATTTCTATGATTTATTTCATAGCACAGGATTAATATAACCCGGGATTATTTCTATGATTTATTTTATAGCACAGAATTAATATAACCTGGGATTATTTCTACAGATTGTTTTATATACTACATGATTAGTATAAACTGATTTTATTTCTGTGGTTCACTTTATAGCACAGGATAAATATAACCTGGGATTACTTTTATAGTTCATTTTATACACAGGATTAATATAATCTGGGATTATTTTCATAGTTCATTATTTAGCACAGGATTCATATAACCTGGAATTATTTCTACAGACTGTTTTATAGCACAGGATTAATATAACCCAGGGTTATTTCTATAGCACAGGTATTTATATAACCTGGGGTTATTTCTCACTCTTAAAAAGATGGCTCTTCAAGTGTTCTGTTGTAAAGACAATGGTTCTATATAGCACCAAAAAGGGTTCTTCTATTGTGAAGATGTCAAGTTTGTAAAAATAGGAGAACGCCTTTTGGTGCTGTATAGAAGCATTTTCAAAAAGGTTCTATATAGAACCATATACAACACATTCTCCATCAACCGGAAGAACTATTTCAGACGATGCAAAGAACCATTTAAGTGTTCCTGGCACCCCTGAAGAACCCCTGAAGTTCCGTCTGACAGCTTGTTTCATAGAATAATATAACTCAGTTTTATTTCTATGGTTCATTTTAAAAGCGAGATTAATATAACCTGGGATTATTTCTGTGGCTCATTTCATTTTTTTTTACTGCTGTAAAGAATGCGATCCGTAAGAATGACAGAGCAACACTGTTTACGTCACTCCATTTCTCCGTTTAAAATAAATCCCAATAGCCCTACACACATATACAGCAGAGGAGAACCCTCAGAGCCTTCACGGCCTTCAGAGAAGGCCTAATGATTTCTGTGAAACAACTAAAAATAAACGTCTGTAATTTTCAGTTCATTTTTTATTCAATATAATATTCACGCTAGTTGTATTTAAACTCTGCCGGTCGTGTAGTAATAATCTCATTGTTAAGCGTTGGTTGGAAACTGCCCAATAGAATGTTGAAACGCCCAACGGAAAACTGTCCAATCAGGACTGCTTTCTCTGTGGTCTCTGGGTAGATAGAGGCCAAGCTGCTCTCCCATTGGTTAGGACTTCAGGAGCTGGACTGAAGGCCTTACACGTTAGATTAACTACTGACATAATTAGGAAGTGACAGAGGAATCAACCAATCACGCTTTGATGTACAAAATGACCAGTTTAGTGAGGAAAACATCTTCTGGAAGTTCTAGATAACTGACTGTGTATACGAGCCGGAGTCTAAACAGTGTTCCGGGTAGTTGTTAGGAATGGAAAACAGCAGCGGCAGCTCTATGGCAGAACGCTTTACTGAAAGACTCACTGTAAAACTGATACAAACATGTATGATGATGCATATATATGATAATGATAATGTCTGTTATATACACACACACACACACACACACACACACACACATATCTATATATATATATATATATATATATATATATATATATATATATATATATATATATATTTTCTTGCTCTACTTCACCTCCAGTCCATTTATGCCCCACCCCAACCTGGCCCCTTCCCCAGTTAAGCCCCTCCCTTCCTGCTCACCTGTACTTCATGTTGCTATGGCGGCCGATGGCTTCCTTCATGTGGGCGTGGCTCTGGCCCGCAGGTCGTGACCCCGCGCCCTCCCGGGGTTTGACCGTGCTTTGGTGGGGGTAGTTTCCATTGCCCGACTGCACGCTGCCCCGTTCAATGACTACCCCTCCGCCCCCGCTTCCTGACCCCCCTCCACCCCCACCAGCCCCTCCGCCGCCACCTCCACTGCCCCCTGGTGGCGGGGCGGTCCTGAGGCCGCAGAGCCGGTCCTCACTGCGGCTCTTCAAGTTGTGTTCCGTGCAGGCAAACGACACCTGCATCCTGACCACCGCTCACACACACACGCACACTCAAACACACACACACACGGGGAGGAACGCTCCGGCTGCGTCTCACACACACAGCGCGCGCCTGTGTGTGTCCACTCTGCGTCTCCTCTTCAGGATCTTCACGTGCTCGCGGCTGCTTGGAAAGGTTCCGCGAGCCCAATTTAAAAAAGGGACCCCAAAACCACACGGTAGCGCGCGCTGTTTCCGGTGCCTTCAGCAGCAGCCTCGCGCGCCGCTCTGCAGCTGCACCTCCGTATCTCCCGGTGTGCGTGTCATGTTCCCTCCGCGTGAGTCCCGGTGTTTCATCCTATTTTTTTTTATTCATCCTCTTTTTTCCCCCCTCGCTCCGTTTAAAGCGCGCGCAGAGCGCAAGCGGGTGCTGTCCGTCCGCTTCGGTCCGTCAGCGCGCGCAGACTGCAGATAGAGAAGCCCGCGTGCAGGGCGCGTGCAGACACACCGCAACAAACACACACGCATACACACACGCGCGCACACACACATACACACACGCGCGCGCGGGCACACACTAGCACCGCGTCCTCCTCTCCGCCGTCTCGTGCGAGCCAAAACGTTCACGAACCGAACGCGTCATTCAAACACTCACACACACACACACACACACACACTCACGCACTGAAATCCCGAGCGCGCGGCGTTAGCGCTCGAATCGCTCGCGCTGCTGCTGTCGTCTTTGTAGTCGCGCGCTGCTGCTGCTGCTGCTACTGCTGCCGCTGCGGCTCTCCGGCGCGTGTCCCATCAGCGCCGCTACAGCGCGAGACTCCCGCAGATACAGCGCGGTGACGTCATCAATCGCGAGGTGGAGGGGGGCGGCCGATTAATGACGGATGATAGAGACTCGCGCGCGCACATACAGTACTGTGTAGAAGTCTTGGGCTATAATACGGGCGGAAAACATTATTGGAATTAATACAAGTAAAGAAACCCATTAAAAGCGAGTTGATCAACCAGTTTCTCAGACTGAACTTTGGAGGTGTGTCTGCAGATTCTTTGAGGAACTGAAAGTGAGTGACATATTTAGTTTATATATATAAAATATATATATATATATATATATATATATATATATATATATATATTTATATACCTATATATTTACATACATACATACATTTATATATATAAAAGCATAAAGCATAATGAGCAATAATAGCTCTCTTTAAAGTGTGTGTCCTATGGCTATTGGCTATTAAAATTACATATGAAGTCCTCCTATTGACCCATAACACCAATACAGTCCAGCCTACTGCTCAATACACATACACACACACACACACACACACACACACACACACACAAACACACACACACACTCAGTAATGCACTCTCTCAGTCACACACATAAACACACGCACAGTCAGCAATGCACTCTCTCAGTCACACACATACACACACCCACATAGTGAAAAAAATGTGCACTCCAGCAATCGCATGGATTTGTTCAACACAGCACACCTCATTTAATTATGGTTGCTAAGGTATCCAAGGTGGTTGCTAGGGTGTTGCTAGGGTCTTGCCAAGGGGTTGCTATGGTATCCCAGGTGGTTGCTAGGGTGCTGCTAGGGTCTTGCCAGGTGGTTGCTACGATATCCCAGGTGGTTGCTAGGGTATTGCCAGGGTCTTACCAAGTGGTTGCTACGGTCTCCCAGGTGGTTGCTAGGGTCTTGCCAGGTGGTTGCTATGGTATCCCAGGTGGTTGCTAGGGTGTTGCTAGGTGGCTTCTAATGTAGTATCCCACATTTTTGCCTGAGCATTGTTAGTGTACTCGTCTCGTGGTGACATAAGAAGGGTGCACAAACTTTTGGCTTATTTGTCCCACCATTTATGCCTGCACACAGTAACTAATTATTAGCAAAAGTGCAATTTTCAACACTACCTTTTCTGATAAATGTTCGTCCACAAACTCATCATTCAGTGTTCAAGATATCAGCACTGAACCAACTCCGGTAGGTTTGGTCTGATGGAGGACGGGGTGCTTGTGTACAGCTTGTTGACTGGACATACAGTTTCTGTGTAGCAAACATTAAAACATTACCCTAGCATCCACCTGGAACACCATAGCAACCACCTTGGATATGAGAGATGACCAGCTGGAAGACCATAGGGACCTAGCAACCACCCAGAATACCATAGAACCCAACTAGCAACATGCTTACAACCTCCTGGAACACCATAGCAACCCCTTGGCAACTTCCCTTGGCAACCACCTGGAACACCATAGCAACCATCTAGCACCGTCCTAGCACCACCAGGGAATTGCTTAAGCTGCACAATCTGTCTGCATTTTCCTCATGAAATGCATATTTAGTTACATTATAAAACAGGTATTATAATATTATTATATTGTTGTATTGAAACCTGGTTCCAGGACATTTTTCTTTTTTCCCCACCATCTAAAAATGTCAGCTGTTCTTTACATTGTGTGGTTATTTTATGATGAATAAGCCAACAGAAGCCAAAAATAAAAAAAATAAAAATAAAATTTTTAAATAACTTACATTAAAGTCTTTCCTTCTAATATTAAGGCACAATTTTGGAGATTTTGTTAAGACAGCTATGCACATACACACTTCCATCCACACACACAGTACACACACACACACAGACACACAATACACACAGAAACACACAGTACACACACACACACACACACACACACACACACACACACACAGTACACAACCATTACAGCCATTCAAGCCACTAAGAGCAGTTAACAGCTCCAACTGTTCACTCCCACTAAATCATTCAGGAAAATCCAATAAACAATCAATAACTCATCTTCAGCACATCAATATGAACTACAAAAGCTCCACTGTACACTAACACTCCAACTCGGCATTGTCTCTGTGTTTGTTTAATCAAATTTCATTGTTAATGTAAGAGCAGCTGTAACTGTACTAAATGCTTACTTATTATTCGTTTTTATATGTTGCTGCAGTGTATATACTTCATATTATATATTATATTTCTATATGTCTACCTCTATTCATATCATTACTATCTATTTAATCCAGTGGGTTTAATATGCTTTGTTTATGTACATCATTAAACCCTTACATGGCCAACATACCTTCTACTTCCACTCACTGGCCACTTTATTAGAACCAACTACCATGTGCTTCCACCAACTGGCCACTTTATTAGAAACACCTACCTTGTGCTTCCACTCACTGGCCACTTTATTAGAAACACCTACCTTGTACTTCCACCAACTGGCCACTTTATTAGAAACACTGACCTTGTGCTTCCACTAACTGGCCACTTTATTAGAAACAACTACCTTGTGCTTCCACTCACTGGCCACTTTATTAGAAACACTGACCTTGTGCTTCCACTAACTGGCCACTTTATTAGAAACAACTACCTTGTGCTTCCACTCACTGGCCACTTTATTAGAAACACCTACCTTGTGCTTCCACTCACTGGCCACTTTATTAGAAACACCAACCTTGTGCTTCCACTCACTGGCCACTTTTTTAGAAACACCTACCTTGTGCTTCCACTCACTGGCCACTTTATTAGAAACACCAACCTTGTGCTTCCACTCACTGGCCACTTTTTTAGAAACACCTACCTTGTACTTCCATTAATTGGCCATTTTATTGGAAACAACTACCTTGTACTACCACAAACTGGCCACTTTATTAGAAACACCTACCTTGTGCTTCCATTAATTGGCCATTTTATTGGAAACAACTACATTGTACTACCACAAACTGGCCACTTTATTAGAAACACCTACCTTGTGCTTCCATTAATTGGCCATTTTATCAGAAACAACTGCATTGTACTACCACAAACTTGCCACTTTATTAGAAACAACTACCTTGTATTTCCACTAACTGGCCACTTTATTAGAAACACCTACCTTGTGCTTCCACTCACTGGCCACTTTATTAGAAACACCTACCGTGTACTTCCACTCACTGGCCACTTTATTAGAAACACCCACCTTATAAGTCTACTCTATGGATGTACTGTTAGAGACAGTATTTTCCTATTTGTTGTTGCAATTTATAAACCCCCTCTGTACCCTATTCATTGTTGGTCAGTTTCTGACCACAGGGCTGCTGTTGACCAGGTATGATATAGATGGTGGACCACTCTCAGCAATGGCTAGAGTCTCTAATACAGTAGCAAGATTAGAAGAGAGGGGTTTAAGATAAAGTGGCCTTAGGAATGTGTAGCTGTCCATGGTGCTGAACTCGAGAACCACAGCCTTAAAGAAAACAAGAACACAGTAAATACAAATCAGAACCTCTATCTGGTTTACAGTAAAAAGGACAGATTGTGAGCAGTGGAACTGTTGTTATAAATGTTATGTGTGCACCTCTGTCATCTCCTTCTCCTAGAAAGCTCAGAAACAGCAGAAATCTGCATTAAAAGCATAAGCGGATTGGCTGGACGGATGAGGCATGTTCTTAATGTACAGATGCTCATATATCGGCTTAAGAAGAATTATGGAGAGAACGTCAAACATCTGAGGCAGAAAAGGTGCCACGTGAGGTGTAACCAACCTGAGGAGTCTGGAAGTGACCTCATATACTTGCCTGTGAGGAATGTCCTACTAAAACCATAATTAAGCAATCATTACAAACTAATTGGCAGGAAACGATAAAAGTAGGTCGGCGCAGATATTGGAAAAATAGGATCTACTGAAGGACAAAAAGTTCTCCCTCCGCTCTAATTTAGAGCTCAGTGCACATGTTTGAGAGGTTTGAGTGGAGATAGAATGTTTTCTTTCACATGTGCTGAGACAGTGTTTTCTACATGAACAGCTGTCCGGCCCTCTAGTGGCCATACATTTCAACTGCAGCTCAATTATTCATGAAAAAATGAATCTCACTTTGGCAGCAAAAACGCAGGAAACAGATCTCTCTCGCGGGAGAAAGAGGCTTTTAAGTGCTTCTACCTGAAAACAAAAACACACAGCGTGAGACAGCGCACACACACACACACACACACACGCACACACGCACACACACACACACACACACACACACACACACGCACACACACACACACACGCACACACACGCTTGGCGGGTCGTTTGAAGTGTCAGCAGTAAACTCATTAGTGTAGAGTGGAAGAGGTTTGCTTGGATTATCTACAGATGGCACTCAAAACCAGGACAGTCTGTACTTCCTACTATTCTCTCTTTCTCTATCTCCTTCCGACTCTCTCTCCCTTCTTTTTCATATCTCTCTTTCTCTTTTCTCTCTATCTCTCTCTCTTCTCTCGCTCTCTCTCTTCTCTCT